AGATCTGAGGATCACGGTTCAAAGCCAGCCTGGGCAGGAAAGTCCATGAGACTCTTATCTCCAATTGACCACCAGAAAACTGGAAGTGACACTGTGGCTCAAATGATACAGTGCTTGCCTTGAGCTGAAGAGTTCAGGGATAGCACCCATGACCAGAGTTTAAGCTCCACAACTGAAAACAAAACAAACAAAACACGGATTTGGTGGATGGCAACCCCTTTGTACAACTAAAGATACTAAAATATAATTTAAAAAATACTTGCTAAACATATATGAGTTCCTGGGTTCCATGTCAATACTGAAAATAAAAGTGCTACAGGGTCACTTTCAGGAGAAGGTAAGTGTATGGTAACAAAGTAGTCCTGGATTACACACTATCAGAGAGCCTGAACATTCACTTCTGGGTATGAAATATACAAATACCGTGTTCCTGGCACTGGGTCTACCACATTATTACAATATGCATTGGATATGCCAGGTGTGGGGCACTCACACCTGTAATCCTAGCTTCTCAAAAGGCTGAGATCAGTGAATAACAGTTCCAAGGCAGCCCAGGCAGGAAAGTCTGTGAGATTCTTATTTCCAATCAGAAAACAGCTGAAAATGGAGGTATGACTCAAGTGATAAGAGCACCAGCCTTGAGCAGAAAAAGCTAGAGGAGAGTACTAAGACCTGAGTTTAAGCCCCTGTACCTGTGCTAGTGGATCTGAGGATTATGGTTCAAAACCAGTTCAGGCAGGAAAGTCCATGAGACTCATCTACAAGTAGCTTTGTACATAAAAACTCAGGGACAATGACCATGTACTGAGTTCAAGCTCTAGGACCACCACCAAAACCAATAAACGAATACTGTATCTTGTGGAGGTCATTCTGTCACCTGATTGCAAAAGACCTTCTGGTTGAGAACACAGCATCAGGACTCCCTGTGGATAGTAAAGAGTTTGTTACCTATATGGCCTAGAGGCCAGAGGTAGCTTCAGTATCTTGCCTGTCTAGGAAATTGGTAGGGGTAGGTTTCTAGAATTTCCAATCAGGTTAGGCCAAGAAAGGATCAGAAAGATGTACAATGGGCAACAGATCAGTACCTTCATTGTTTGCTCATTCATTCTAAACTTTGTGAAGAAGGCCCTCAGTTGTGAGCAGCCATCTTTTTACCTGCACCCTTCTGGGTTCTGATTATAACTCTACATATAAACTGAATCTTTGTAACTTACTAGCTCATGGATACAGATGAAGTATGTACTTAAAATTTCACCAGTTTTTGTTCCTCACTGCTCATATAAGAACTCTACTCCAAATATAAAATAATCCAATATGTGTGAAAATCCACAGGTTACAAACCAATCTATTTTCATCATATCTCATATTTCCTTCCTTCCTCTTGGCCTCATCTTTGTATTCTGTTCACATAGCTGCTTAGGAACTAGTTCCCAGCTGGGCACTGGTGGCTCATGCCTATAAACCTAGGTACTCAGGAGGCTGATAGCTGAGGGTGGCTGTTCAAAGCCAGCCTGAGCAGGAAAGTCCATGAAACACTTTTTTTTGGTGGGTCGTGGGGCCTGAACTCTGGGCCTGGGAGCTGTCCCTCACAGCTCTTCAGCTGTAGACCAGCTCTCTACCACTTGAGCCTCAGCTCCACTTCCGGCTTTTTCTGCTTATGTGGTGCTGAGGAATCGAACTGAGGGCCTCATGCACGCAAGGTAAGCACTCTACCACTGACCTACCTTCCCAGCACCTTTTAAAAAATATATTTATTTTGTTGGTTGTGGGGTTTGAACTCTGGGCTTGGGCACTGTCCTTGTGCTCTTCAGCTCATGGCCAGTGCTCTACCGTTTGAGCCACAGTGCCACTTCCTCCATGAAACTCTTATTTCCAATTAACCACCAAAAAAAAAAGCTGGAAGTAGAGCTCAAGTGGTAGAGCACTAACCTTGAACAAAGAACCTCAGAGACAGTGTCCAGATCCAGAGTTCAAGCCTAAGGACAGCATACCCAAAAAAGTTAGTCACCCCTTCTCAATCCCACCCACGTTACAACTGCCATGCTCATTGTGGGGATATTGGTGAAGTTGTCAAGGTTCTACCTCTGGATTACCCCAAAAGTTTCTGACCATAGAGATACCTGGCCATGCATCAGACATACTCATGTCTTACTCTCAGTTTGAGTTCATGATTAACACTTACTTGCTAAATACATGATGCTCAGGGTTCCATGATGGCACTATCTAAAAGCAGGTTCTGGGAAACTATTACATTTCACGGCTCAAATTTGAGGTTGGTGACTGGTAGGGACATAGGCTGGGTTTGAATGGCTCCTCTGTGGCTGAGGGAAAATGGTGTTTTTCAGATCTAGGTGTGAGGTTCAGTCAGCAAGTGCCAGGGACAGCTGCTCCCTCTGGTGGCCTGTGCTTTCAACCAGGGACAAGGAGGTCAGCTTGAGCAGTCTCATGCCATTCATCTGAGTTCCTCTTAATACTATTCCTGAGTGCAAGGCATTTAAAAGCCAGCTTCTGCATCAGAAAAACTCACACCAAGGAATGTGCTATTCAAAATAGGCATTCCATATAAAACAAAAGGATTGTGGAAAAGTTCCTGGTTACAGGAGGCTAAAAAGACTTGACAATTAAATGCAATTCTTCATCCTTGACCAGATCTTATCATAGAAGAGTGAAAATGGAAATGCTACAAAGGAAATTTCTGGGTCAACAGACAAAATTGGAGTATGAACATGAGATTAATTTTTAAAATTACTGTATTGTGAATGTTGCTGAAATTATGCTGTGGTGACATAGGGAGTATGCTTGCTCTTAGGAAATGCCCATTGAGTTATTCCAGGATGAAGGGCCCTGAGTCATATGTATAACACACTCAATCTCTCTCTCTCTCTTATAATGTATAACACACTCACTCAATCTCTCTCTCTCACACATACACACATTTATGAAAGAGTGCACATGTGCAAATGATAAAGCAAAGGGAATAAAATGTTATAGGTAAACTTGAATAAAGGATACATATATATATATATATTTCCTTTTGTACCTTTTTTGAAATTTTGAATGTTTCAAAATGTTTAAGACATTTTAGAAGCAGTTTCTGTGCAAGCAGTCAGAATCTGCTAGTGCATGCCTAACACAAGTCTTCCTGTGGCAAACACGAGGAAGGAGGGTATGGCTATGTCTTATTTAGTATGGCTACTGGACACATGTCAGATAGCCAGTTGCCAAGCAACACCTGAAGCCACTATTTCCTGAGCTCCTTTATCCTAAAGACATGAAAAAATAACAACAAAACATTTGATCCTAATGATTATCAGTCCTGAGTATTGAAGACATTTTGATTATGACAGGAAGTATCTATCAGTTCATTCATTCATCCATCCATTCACCCAACCACTCACTCAGTAAATGCTCTAAATACCTACTTACTATGTGCTGAGAACTGTGCCAGGAGCTGGGAATGCAGCCTGGGTACAGAATAGATGCAGGTCTTGCCATAAGCAGACCTTTATGGGGTTAATGGTGGAACTCAATGGCATAGCTTAATATGTATATGCCTAAAATGTGTGAGGCCCTGGATTCCATCCCCAGCACCAAAAAAGAAAGCCTGTGAGCTCATTGAGGGGTGTATTTGCCACCACATGAATAGATCTATGAGGTGACCATGAAGTAGACTTAAATGCCATGGCCTTTAATCAGAGACAGTAGACCAAGCCCTGTGAATCTGACGCACATTTGAATCCCTCCCAGGATCTTCTAGGCAACTGAAGAGGAAACATAGTGCTTACCTCTGTTTCAGCTTAGCTCTCTGCCTTCAATCAGGATCAGAGAAGGGTCAATGAGCCATTCTATCAACATCCCTGGGTTGATGGTCCAGGTGAGCTTTGGAAAACAATCTTTCTCCAGATTGCTGCCTGTGGGTAAATGTGGCAGCTATACCCATAATGCTTTTAGAAGGAACCCCCCCTCCCCCGTGCAAAAAAAACCCCACACCAATTACTCTCATGTGGCCACAAGAATTCCATCACTAGGGTTCATGACTTGCTTCCAAATGACAAGAATAATGACCCTTGGGGGACAGTTGGTTCCTCTCAACCCCAATCCCAGGTATGATGCTGAATGTGATGCCTGATACACAGTAACAATGCCTGGAGGAGGGCATCAAGTTGATAATGTTGGGGAGAGAGTTCTTAAAATCATTCATGTGTGTATGTGTGTGACTTGCATATGACATACGTCCTTCCTCTCCTTGGGTCTCAGGATAGAGACTGAGATTGACCTTCACCTCTGATGTATTCACAATGGGGAAGGGGAGGTTGGGGGGTGGGGCGTCAGGGGAGGGGAAGCCCAGCGCAAAGAATTTTCCAATTCAGATCCAACAAATGTTTACTGAGTCCCTACAAGCTTCCAAGCCTTTACTTTATACTTTGACACATTTTATATCATGTAATCTTTAACAACAACCCTTTAAGGTATTGTCTGCATGTTACAGATGAGAAAACAATCGCAAAGAGATTCATTGATTTGCTCAAGTATATCATACAGCATATTTTTTTTTACACACGCACACACTACACTGTCAGCTGAGGCCTGTCTGTGCTGATTGCTTATCTTACAACATTTTTGTCTTCTCTACTTTTGGAATGACTGCTTCTCATATACAAGCCCCCTTATTTCTTCTTCTTTCAAAAGCCCATATGGGCTTTTTTTTTAATACTGCATTTAATAGCACAAAAATCACAAATACAAAGAAACTGGCAAAGGTGTTTGTCAATGAGATATCCCTGCCTCCTCCACTTTTCTGCTTTCAGACCCATGTCCACAATGAATGGGCTACATTTTTTTAAACTTTTTTTCCTCCCAAATGTGTAACTGTTATGTGATTGGTCAATTGAAGCTGAAACACCCATGGAGAAAGATGTTTTACGGTTACAAGGGCACAACAACCCCCCACACCTCCCCCCTCCCGCCCCCACCTTCCCACACAACCTTTTGGAGGAATATAGATGTACCAGTGTCACGATTTGCCTGCTTCTGCCTTTCCTACCCAGAGCATTCCTGACATTTAATTTCCTTCAAGTGACTGCTTTGACTAGAGCCTCTTCTCCCTCCCCTTCTATTTTCTCTTCCAATCGGGACCTTTTGGACACTGGATACTGTTCAGTCCTTACTCTGTCAGGCCCCTGGGCCATGGTCAAGTAGGTTCTTTAAATCTCGATGCCAGTTGTAGCACAGGTGTCATCATCTTCCATTACAGGTAGGTCGGTGTGTCGCTTCAGTAGGCTTGTGTATTCATTTCTTTCACTTTTTCGGACTCATGTTCCAGGAGCTGTTTGTGATAAAACAGTAAATACCCTTCACTGTCCAGTACGTCCTTAATGCTGGCCTTGGTGATGACGGCATCATCACACTTGAACCACTGGTCCTTGTGGTGCCGGATGAAGCTGGTGTAGTGACCACTCTCCAAGGTTCCTTGGTGATTAACCACAGCAAACAAGGAATACTTATTCTCATTGTTTCCACTATTGGTTGGCAGCTGCAACTGTCCATTCATTCTGCTCTCTTTACTTGAGGCCATAAACGGTGTCATATCCAGCTCAAGAGGAAAGGAAATGTATGTGGTGATCTTGCGCCTCTGTTTGGCTGAGTGTTCAAAGCGTTTGAAATGAAAACAGGCAACAACTGGTAGTTTCTTCATTGTGAGCTGTTTGGTAGATTCCTGGTAGCTTTGGCAACTACCACATTTGATTTTGGCACTGCTTCCTAGGTGCTCTGGCCTTGTAAACCTCCGTAAGCAGTCTGTGAGGGTAGTGATTCCTGGTGTGTGGTTTTCTCCATTCACGCTGCTCTCCCTCCCTGGACTCATGGGCCAGAAGGAGGTGCAAGATCCAGGCAAGTCCAAGCTGATGTCCCAGCATGGGTCTATAGTGGTAGAGACACCATGGCAGGCTTGACAGGTGACATCAGACTGCAGGCCACCTGTGAAGATTTGGTCTATGATGCAGTTACAGTGGTTGGGGTTGTTAGCTGCCTTGCCTACCTCATCACCTTTGCAGTGCCTGTGTAAGACATCTAACGCCGCAATGAGAAACTCGTGGGCATCCTGTTGCCTGTACCCTGCTAAATGGCGGGCATGTATCCACACCAGGTGCAGCAATTTATAGGGAACGTGAGGAGACGGGTTTCCAGAATACAACTCCCGAAAGAGAGAAGACATCTCACAGACCAGACACAACTCCGGGCTGGGCATTTCACATCGGTGCCTGTCGGAGAGAAAGAAATCTCTCAGGATGGGAGTGTGGGTCAAGGCTTGGACGATGCAGTTCATAAAGCACGTGTTGCCAAGATTAATGAGTCCTCTTAAGCCGATGGTAAAGCTGGATGCAATTCTCCGTCTCCGTGGGTTGTGCCCCAGCAGTTCTAACTCGGGTTTGGTTGTTTCCCAGGTTGGATACTTCTCACCGGGGCCTGGCACTGAACACTGCTGGTGAGAGACCTCAGTTGAGGTGGAGGCTTGTAATTTCAAGGCTTCTCCTTGCTCTTCTTTGGCAATTTGCTCAATATCTTTGTCATACACATAGTCCTTACACATGAAGCAGTATATACCTCCGTAATAAAGGTCTACTGCTAAGTTGTGTTGTTTTGTCTCGGCGTGCTCATGAATGTGTTTCTCTGTGAAGCAGCCAAAGAAGACACAGGAAAGGCAAGAGTGGAGTCTGTTCAAATGGGTGCCACACACATGGCAGATGCACGACTTTGCTTTGCTTTTCCTGGTCTCTGGAGTTCCACACCACACGAAGCATTGGTAGATGACCCGCAGTTCCTGCCTCCAGTTCTCTCCCACCTTAAAACTGTTCACGTGGGAACAACCTGGTGGCCCCAGCGCAAAATCCACATCCAGGCA